GGGACAAATGGCCTCCTTCATGGCTCTTTTTTAATTAGATCGCATTTTTATAAAATAAATAAAAAAGTAAGTAAGCGATATAGAAGATGAGAATATGTTAATCCCTATCCTCAATTCTTTCATATCTCTAGAAAACCCCCCCACTGGACGAGGGGCGGAGAGGTCGCCATATCTTGTTGCCATTCTTACATTTGTTGAATACAATATTGGAGCATGTAGGGACTAGTAATAAGCCCTCTACTATAGTTCTCCATGTACCATGAAGCATAGTGACTTGACATGAACTAAAGTTAGAATCTATGTTTTGACTACAAACCCTAATCTAGTTTGACATGATCCAAGGGAGGTACCCTCCCAACTCTATAGCTGAAACTGTAGAATACGAAGAAGACTTGAGTGCTTGGAAGCGATGAATTTGACCATGAGATTGAATTGCTTGAGGCAATCAACGTGAAAGCAAGATGGCCGAGAAGCAAGCTAAAGAGGCAATATAATTTCATGTGATTTTAGATCTGCACAGTATCATTATTTTATATATTTGATGGGACTATTAATTTAGTATACATTATTTTTATTTCGACACATACGTAGTTTCTCTCTTGATAAAAATAATGTGTGAGGTGTGTGTCCAATTATTTGAGGTGACTAATGGTAATGGTCTCATTATTAGTCCACAAAAGAAAAGCAAACTTCCAATGCCAGAGAATAAAAGCAACCTAACATAGTGCTTTCCGCTTTCAAGCCAAGTGCTGGTCTTGTAGGAAATGTCAAAAAGTCAAATATCATTTTGACAAAGAACAAATTATTTTTTTGACCGTTGATTTGAATTGGATGGGCCCCTTCAATGAAATAATTTATTTGACTGTCATTATCATCGAGAAGGCAATTGCGTTTTGCATAATTTGGCATGTCGTTTTTGTTGCTGTGTCCCAATCTGTCTTTAGCCTCCGTTTGAAAAAGAATTAATAAATTTCAGACAAGAATTAATTTTAGTCATATATTTATATTTTTTTAATTATTATATTCATATATTTCATAAGACTAACTAATATTTATTTTTGTAAATCATTTCTAAATTTATCGAACGAAGACTTCATAATTGATTTATATAATGCACGAGACTCTTCTCCATTCTCCTGCTTCTTCATCTTTTTTCTTGCTTTTGCCTCACTCATAATTTTTCAGCATTGAATTTAAATGGAACCCACCTGAGGAACTCCGGGGTCTTAAGTAATTACTCAGCTAAAGAGGAGAAGCCAAGAAAACCGTTAATTTTCTCAAATCAACGGTCAAAATTGATTTTTCTTAGTTCAAAATGTCTTTATAAACAAACTCAACTTATTTGTTGTTTTGAATGGTTGGCAAATACATATTTTGCATAGGATAGATATTCGAAACAAATAAATTTATATTTTTATCTCATATTGTTTCTTACATCCTCTTTTACATGCAGTGGAAGTTATTTGCATTTTACAAATTCAATCTAATCATATAGATTACATGTACTAGCAGTAGCTACTATTAATATTATTGTGATTGTTCTTTCTTTTTCTTTTTCTTTTTCTTTTTCTTTTTCTTTTTTTTTTCTAATTTCTATTTAACAAACAAGATTTAACCAAATTCTCAATTTTTTAGATATAGAATATATATTAACATTGAGAAATGGCATCGAGGGTGGTGGAAATAGGCGATAGAATGAGCATAACTCACAGTATTATATGTATACATCAAGTATAACACGCGTGTTAAAAAGAAAAAAAAATGAAAATGAAATAGTTGTGTAATTAATAATAAAAATGGCTTCTTAAGTCTTGGGATGATCATAGCATTCACAAGGGTTTGGGTCTGAAATTATGAAAGGTCATTTCTAGTTATTTACTAGGGTTGGCAAAATTTCTTTATCGCCTTGATTTTCCTAGCATTTTGGACACTCATTCGGTTTTCCATGTGAGCATGGTAAAACCGTATCATTCAGATTTGGAGGATCGCGGCAAGAACGAGTCACAAAGGCAAAGGGCTCCATCTGAGTCCTAACAACGTCGTACAAGAAGCATGTGAGATGTTTTGGCAAATAGAAAGCTCGAAGATATGGTGTTCCTCCTTGAATTAATTACTTAATCAAATAGAAGGGGCTGTCCGAATCTTATGCAACTTAGGAGAATAAGGAAGACTTGTTGTAGTTTAAAGGGAAGCTTCAACATTACAAGGTGACAAGGACGTTGCCTGGTTAGGTGGGGAAAGACTTATGTTACAAATATCATGTCCAATTTTGTCGAGGCGGTGACTACAATTTAGCGTAGTTATGGCGCTTTGGTAGGGTGCACAACTTCTTTCAGTAGAGAACGAAGGCTCCAAAACGTGGGCTAATGTATTGGCTGATTTTTGAAATGTTCTATGCCCTGAAACCACCATCTCAATGCTAGAGAACCGATGGATTATATATATGTTGTGGCTGAAAGGGGGTACTATTTGAGATAGTGAAGGTGTAGTTGAGATGGTGAATGGGCTGTTTTCCATCATGCTATTGTTGATGCTCAGAATTATAGGGCTGATGGGCCCAAAACTCACTAGATTCTCGACTCATAATCATCAACTGTAGCCTAAGCCTAAAATAAGTAGAATTTTGCTATCTATACAGGGGGATCTGTACAGTAACTTTATAGATGCACGCGTGCATCTGTCGGTGGATTTGAAAATCCAAATCCATCGATAGTCATGCTTGTATCTGTGATTTTTCAAATCCACCGACACGTGTGTCTGTCATACTGCATGTACAGATCTATCGTACAATTAGAATTTCTCAAATGAGCATTATCAGAAGAGTTTCGATGTACAAACAGGGTGAGTGACAGGATTTAAAATCAGGAGGACACATGTCAACATTTCATTGGACAGTTTGGAAAAAAAGAAAAACAGCACCTATCAAAAACCATGTTCAAGTATCATAAGTGTATCAAAAGCACGATATTTTGACGTGTGGTCATTATAGTGGTTCCTTATGGCGCATTATTCGAAGTTTCGTATATTAGTCAATAAAACAGCTGGTTTCCACAAAACCTAGTAGCCATGGCCTTATTGCCCCGTCACGCGAGTAGTAGAAAATTCCACTTTGTCTTTCATTTGTACTTATACAAGTAGTTATCTAATAATAGAAAACATCTAAATTTCTGAGAAAATATTTAATGATCTTTATAAAAATGTCTCTTATATTAAAAATTGAAATTTCTACTCGAATTTTATGTTTGACAGAATATAAAAAGCGTAGCTCTTTCCATGCCTAATTTCATTCTATCAAGTGCTTATCGTTGTAGAATTTGTCAGAAAAATGAAAATATTTTTGTTAAATTTCAATTCTATGTATTGTTTTCGTACGATATATATATTTTAATAATATGCATATCGCGAAAGGATACCCACTAAATCACTTTATTTTAATTTTTATTTTATTATGAACTTGTAATAGTCAAATTAGTCACAATTTTAAAATTAGTTATTAATATATTTAGATTTAGAATTAATTCTTAAAAAAAATCTTTTTATATAGTTTTATTGACCCCTGTGCATTTGGAGGAGCATGGTCCATTATACCAGCAATTTTCAAAGTAGATGTAGGATTTGTGAACTGAGTGCACGCTCGTGATGTTGGATTTTACAGTTAGTGTGTTCTCGTAAAATAATAGTTCATTTTCAAAAAAAAAAAAAAATTAATTGCGAAATGTAACATACAGTTTAAATTTTATCGAAATTGAATTGTTTATTTGAGCTTTTTATACTCTAATATTATATTAAGTCTTGCAACAAAAATTTAAAAGATTTTACACAATTAAATTTTAAGATTAGTCATGTAAATTTTTACACAATCACAAGAAATATTAAGAAAAGAAATTATGAAACTTTCACACACAATGCTAGCTTGAGATTAATCATGAAAATTCGACATAATTAATAAAGGGTCAAACGATAGTTAAAATTTAAAATAACTTATTTATTTTTTCTTTCAAAAGAATGAAGTTATTTTCTTAAATTTTGACGTACGTTAGATTAAATTTTGAATGAGTTCTCGATTTTTCTAGTCGAACTGTATTGTTGTACATACTCTCGTGAGCACTACGTCACATTGTAAATATGATTAGTAGTTGTGATAATCAATTAATTAGGAAGTGATTAGGTCAAATATGGCATTAATGTTGGATTAATCAAGGGTAATTGATGCTACATTTTAGTCGTCGAGACGGCGGGAAGGGTGGAAGCACACGTGAGGTCTAATTAGTGATCACGTCAAACTCATAGAAAAACTTGACATTACTTTGCTTCCCACCTCACGTGTGTGTGTAAATTATTGTTGGGGTTAGTTGGTATTTTTAGACTTTTTACCCAAAATTCATTAATGGGTTTTTATCACTTTCAGGTCGTGGGAATTGTCAAAATGTTTTCAATTTCATTCAAGACCAACCTCTCCATTTGATATTTTTTGGAGAATCTTCAATCTCTGATATCGCTATAGTCAACCACTAATATCAGTACGCGAATCGAATCGTGAGACTCATTATCCGATGAATAGCAATTGTTCTATACTACCTCTGTCTCATATAAATAAATAACACTTATTTCTATTTTCACATAGATTGAGAAAAATAACTTATAATTTGTGACAAACGAAAAAGAAAATCAAGTTTATCTTTATGGGACGACGGTAATATATATCCTTACCTTAATCCTAGGTTATTAAGAATTCAATATTTTCCCACTCCAAAACTCAAAACTAGAAATCTTTCTTGAACAAAGTAAAGAAATTAAATAATTAGAGAATATGCGACGTGCACATGCAAATGGGCACGTTACATATTAGCTCGGTGTGGTATGCATGCATTGGGGGATGCATTACTTTAGTCGAGAAAATTTTAACTAAATTGCGACAAGGAATGATTTTTTTCTCTAGGACAACAATATCATTTGCCTTTTGGCTATAAATTAGGCACCAATGTTCTCTAGGACACACATTCATCGAAACCTTCTTACTTCTATTAGGATCGAACTTAATACAATCAAAGTATGTAACGGATACACAAAGACATCTAAGTATACATAGACATTTTTCAACATTGATTTACCCCCACCCCACCAAAAAAAAGAAAAGAAAAAACCCATAAATTCGTCAACGCTTTATTACATCAACTTAAATGCTTGTACTAAGCAAATATGCCCAAGGGACCGGTCTGGTTTGATGAGCCCAGTCCTCGTTCTGCAGTTGGTAGACCGGTAATCAAAATCCTGAAATACAAAATTAGTAAGCTTTTAGCTTAATGAGCATCTCTTCATTAAAAGGAAACTCTTTCGGGGGAGAAAAAAATAAAAGCAATTTGAGAAAATTTCTCATTATGATTATCTACTAGACTATCAGATTCGAAGAGCACTTTGCATGAAAACAAAGATGTATACCTTTCTACACTTCTGGTGCCCGGCTTCATTAGAATTGTGAATCTTTTCGCTGTCTTTGTGAACTCGCTACAGGATTAGAAAATAGGACAAAATGGTCAATTACAAGCAAATCATGGAGACTACCAGTCTTTCCAGCATGCAATTTTGGACGTTAATAAAACATAGAAACTTAAAAGTAACAAAATGATGAGATTTACCTGAATGGTTCTTCTCCAATTTGTTTAACAGCACCAGTTGCATCATGATAGAACACATGGCTCAGCCTATCTAATATTTCAATCTCAAACATGTTTCTAAGCATTTCGTATAGATCTTTGTATGATCCAAGAGCGGATAATTGGAGAACTTGACCCACATCCTCTGACTCCAAGAATACTTTGCAGTGCCCCATGTCACGAGACATCTGTTGCTCGGTGAGTATTGGCTGACCAAATAGTACAAACTGAGGCGTCATTACATTATTAGTTTTAACGGACTTCTGCCCAGAATCTCCCATGTTTAACAAGCAAGAAATATCTTCGTTACCATCATGTCTCCTGACAATATTATCAGAAATTTTAGCATGGGGCTTAAGCTGCGGGATTGTGGGTGGTAAAAGTCTCAAATGCAGTTTATTGTTAAGGTGATCCGATAACGGGAGTCGAATTTGAGTATGCCTAGCTTCCTGTATGCATGCAGCAATGTCATTGGATATACAACATAAGCGACTGCTTGTCCCAAGAGGGTTGCCCATAAATGATGGCACTGGAAACTGGCCAGCAAGCGGAAAGTTGGGATGATGTGGTAAACGCAACTTCTTTCGTGGTGGCGAGAAGGATGAGAGGTGCATGGCAGGTATGTTTGTGACCATTTCAACTAGCCAAGGACTAACACGTTTTACATTTTGCAGCATATCCGGTTCATCCCATGTCACCTACAAAAAGAGAAAGGGGAAATATGTCAGAGCAAATGGAAAGCAAACATAAGCTTAGACAAATTCCCTAAATTAAATGATAAAGAGAAAAGTGTAACGAATTTAATACTCGAGTTTAAAAATATAAACAAGAAGACAGCAAGTTTGATTTCACTAATGAATCCGAGAGGCAAAAGGAATGTGAACTCCAACACTGTTAAAATGGAAATGGAACAAAAATGAACCATCAGAGAGATTTATTTCGACACACATTGAACCGTGGTAATTGACAGACTACGTGAATTCTGAGTTCGTTTAACTACCTGAAGGAGCCGCCACATTGAATTCGGCCAGCGAAAGGGATCAGCAACCTGAACACAAGCTATAGTACCCATAAACCAGCTAATCCGGGAAGAATCCTCAGTTTCAAAAGCCATCTTGAACCTCATACCAGAAGACCACTGGATCCTCATCGCAGCACAAACGGAGGAAGCCTTTACACAGAACTCCGGCGTGCTTGCACGCGGGTAATAAGCCACCTCAAATGGCTGGCCATTGGAAGCAAGGAATGTGGCCTTAACAACCGATTCAAGCTTCACTTTGCTCCTCTCCCTTAGGCTCCCGTTATTGCTATTTCCAGCACCAATACCACCATCCCTCTTCGCCCTTCGAATCCCAACACAGAGTTCCCCACTTTCGACCCTCAAAAACACGATTGAATCCCCTGCAACTAGCTGCTTCTGATTCACAAAAGTACTCCACCCAGTGGTCAATAAATGCCTCCTTGGCGTCCCCCTATAGATATGCCTAAAATTCCAAGTCTTCCCATGAACATCCTTAGCAATCACAGTCTGAACAGGTGGATCAGCCGAATAATCCAACCGAGGAAATAAAGTCTCTGCACAGTACCTCGGAACAGAGAAACCCCCACCATTGTTCGCATCAGATTGAGTTAATGTCTTCGCAAAAGAAGCGGGCTTTTCATTTGATTCAGACCCATTTCCTCCTAACACCACATCGTCATCGAAACTATAATCACTATTCACAACTGGGATCAGTCTGATTTTGGCATAAACTTCATCTGTTTCAGGGTCAGCCAAATATTGCACAGCCGCAACCCTGCAGAGAATCATAGGGGGAATTCTCGGCACTGCTGGGAATTCCACATCAGTGAGTGTTTGCTCTGCGTGACCTTGTGGGAAATAGAATACATTCGAGTTCACCAGCGGCATCTGAACCATTCCTCCGGCGCAAGCATGCCATAGTTCCGAGTCCAAACTTTTCTCCACCAACCCATCCATCTTTCAAACACAAATCTTCTTCTGGTTTTGGTTAATTCACAAAAACCCACACTTTAATCTCTTTGTAATCTCTACTCCACCTTTTATTTCTTATTCAATTAATGTTGTAGACAATCAAAAAGAGACAAAAAAACTTTAACGTTAAAGTAAATTAAAGAACACCGCATTTAATATCAAAGACGGCAATGGAAATCATAATAAATTCATGCATAATCTTCAAAATAAAGATGAAAAAAAAAATTGAAACCCACCAAATATTTCGACACAAATGAATCCGAGTGGAGTCTGTGCGCTTATTGCTGAATCATGGAGGTGTGCCAACACATGCAGAGCCTAAAATGCAAGAATTTTACGTATCTGAGAATCAATAAAGGATACTTGAAACCAGATTCAGATTATACAGTAACACAACTGTTAATATACGAAAACATTGCCTCACAAATCGTCAGTCCATTATTATTGATTCAGGGAAAATGCACATTCACTCTCTCTTTTAGTCAAAAATTTTCTACTCTGAAACGACAGCGTTTCGGAAGTGCCAGAGCAACGTAGGAGTCTCCCTTGGTTTTGACTCTCTTCAGATGTGTGTACCAATTAGACAGAAATGACCATTTTATACTACATTTTAATTTTCCATAATTTAATATAGGCCTTGTGTTCTCCACCAACCAATACAAAATTTTAATTGTCTAATAAATTTAAAGTCGACTATACTTAATTCGAATTTATATCTAAAGTTGACTGTTTTCAATGTTAAATCATCGTCATATAATATTTATATACCCTATTTATGACTCGTATTTATACTTCGTTAGAGACTTCTTTACTAATTCAGATTATCACTGAAATTGACTATATGTAATTTGAATTTATATTACATTTTAATTTTCCATAATTTAATGTAGGTCTTGTGTTCTCTACCAACCAATACAAAATTTTAATTGTCTAATAAATTTAAAGTCGAGTATAATTAATTCGAATTTATATCTAAAGTTGACTGTTTTCAATTCTAACTCATCGTCATATAATATTTATGTACCCTATTTATGACTGCTTCGTGTAGAGACTTCTTAACTAATTCAGACTTATCATTGAAATTGACTATGTTTAATTTGAATGTATCGCTAAATAATATTTTTTACACTCTACTCATGACTCATAATTTCACTTCGTTAGATAGGTCATTGCTAATTCACATTGATTATATTTATTTCAAACTTACCGCTACTTCAACCGACTATATATATATATATATATATATATATATATATATGACCATGATTTGACTTCGTTAGAGGGTTCTTTGCTAATTAAGATTGACCATTGCAATTGATTATACTTAATTCGAACTTTTCACTGAATAATTTTATTATACTCATTTTATGACTAGTGCATTGATTTCGTTGGAGAGTTCATTGATAATTTAGATTGATAGTTGAAATCGACTATATTTAATTTGAATTTATCGCTAAAAAATGATTTTACATACTCTGTTTATGACTTGTGCTTTAACTTCGTTATAGAGTTCATTGCTAATTTAGATTGATAAATGAAATTGACTATATCTAATTAAGACTTATCGCTAAATAACTTTTTTATACTCTACTTATGACTTGAACTTTAAGTTCATTAGAGAGGTCATTGCTAATTCATAATGATTGATAAAATTAACTATATTTAATTCGAAGTTATCGCTACATATTTTTTTTGTAATATATTTATTACTTGTGCTTTGACTTCGTTAGATAGTTCAATGCTAATTAAGATTGAACGTTAAAACTGATTATATTTAATTTGGACTTATCACGAAATAAGTGATATGTAATTTTTTAATATATTTTTATGACCTATGTTTTGATTTCGTTAGAGAATTTGTTGCTAATATAAATTGATTGTTGAAATTTTGAAATTGACAATATTTCATTTGGATTTATCACTAAATAATTTTTATACTCAATTATGCCCTGTGCTTTGACTTCATTAAGTTTTATTTCAATAACTCAAGACTATTCACTCTTTTCCAATTTGTATCTCTACATAAGATTAGTGTGTGTCTCAATATTTGAATTACAATTGTAATTTATCAATGGATTGATGTCTCATATTATCTATGAGTAGGCTCAGGTCTAGTTTGGGTCCAACCCGAATATCAAATCGACTTTTCAGATTAAATTATTTACTAATAATTTAATTATTTAAGGGGATTAAAAAAGTTTATTAATTTGTTGTTTAGAAGCAGTTGATAGAAAAAATAAAAATTAGTATATTTCATGAGATTAATGAAATATATATATCACATAGGATGATTACTGGTAGTTTTCACTACGAATAACATTATTCTTTTTATAAAAAAAAATGTTTTGGGCCCCCATTTGACCTCATTCTCCTTCTCATTCTTTTTTTATATCTTATTTTCAACCACACAATCTTCCATAAAATAATATTATACACAAATCCATAAAATTTGTCCTTTTTCAATCACATATTTTTCAAAAAAAATACTATTTCAACCATTAAAATTTGGGAAGAATGAGGATCAGACAGGGGCAAGCTACTGTTTGTCAGTTCTTACTTTTAACACTTGTTCCACGCTTCAGAGTCAGAGAAATTGCAGTATTGGTCCCGAAAGTAAATTTTTGGTACGTTGATCTCTGACTTCCTACAAAAGGGACAACTAATCGAATCTTACTTTAATCATTACGTACGTATGTAACATGGTATATTATCTACAAAAAAATCATTAATTTTTGTGTAAAAACATTTGAGAAAACAAATAAACAATTCATTCAAGAAATTTATTTCCCTGACAGAATAAAAGAGGATTGGTTCATTTCACAACTTTCTCCGAAATAAATTTGGAGAATACACACCAAAATAGTGACCAAGAATTTTATTGCAGATTATATATTTATGACCTTGAATGGTGCTTTGATGTAGTATCATTTTCCTTATATTGAGCAACTCTCCTTCTACAAACACTATTGTCATCTCAAAATCGTCTTTGAATCGAAGTCTTCAAGAATCAATTTGATTAATTAAGTTGAAGACATTCGTGAAGAGCACAAAGGTATTTCTTTTCCTGGATAAGAAGGATAAAGAGTTTTTCCGTGGTTATCATGAATAGGGGTTGAAATTGTGGGGAATTAACATGAAAATGAAGATCAATCAAGCGATTGAGTTTATGAAGAAAAATGAAGGGAAATAATATATTAATTAGCATGCCAATTCAATTTGACAAAGCAAAAAGACAGAAACCCTTCACCTTAAAATCCACACAAATTTTAGAATACCACAAGACACAAATTAATTATAAGTGGTTGGTGAATGGAGGACATTGATACAGACATGCCCCCAGCCCCATAGCCATAAGTCATTTACACAAATAATCTAAAATGCAATTATAATTAATGATCCAACAAATATATAGGTGGCTTTTTATAAATATGCTTGTCTTTACTCACAAATAGATACATATATAGATACAATAACAAGTATATATTTTGCGAGAAAATCTTGAAAAAGTCTTAGGTACAGACTTTTTTCACAAGCTTTTGACAGGATACGGACAGCTTTTGACAAGGTGTTATCGTGTCGACACTCTACTAAGCTAATGGAAACCGTTAACTATTATTTTTCTGTTGATTTTTTCTATACTTATAGCATTATTCATATTTTGCAGTACCATGCCAGCCAGCCATGGCCTAATATATGTAAAAAGGGCCAATTTTGGGTACTGTCTTAATTATAAGTGGTCCTTTGAAAAGGGACTCCTTATGATGGAAATAGTTCCACGATAAATGCTATATTGTACACTTTCTATGGCGACAAAAATCTTTTACGTTTGGTTAACTTAAAACCGACATTGTTGATTCAAATTATAGTAGTAAACACAGTCATCATATTTCACCTGGTCATTAGTGATTCAATCGTCAAGTTAATAGTTCAATCGTTGGATCATTGATATTTTTAAAATAAAAGACTAATGTATAAAACATATCTTAGGGTACGGTTGAACAATGAAACCGTCAAACCGAACTGAAACCGTTGATTTGGTTCCACGTGGATCCATCAACATTTTTGTTTTAAACTGAACCAAACCACTTCAAAGTGGTTTAATTTAGGTTTCAATCTTTGTAAACTATCAAATAGTTTACAATAAACAGAAGAAAAGAAAATTATGAAAATAAATTAGTCTAAATTTCATTTAACCCAATTAAAACTTATTAAGGTGGAAACAAACTATTTTTGGATACAGTTCCAATAGTATTAACTCCAATAGATACAATATCAATCTTTGTAAACCGTTTCAAACCGCCAAACAGTTTACAAAAAGCAGAAGAAAAGAAAATTTTGAAAATAAATTAGTCTAAATTTCATTTAACCCAATTAAAACTTATTAAGGTGGAACCAAACTATTTTTAGATACAATTCATTGATATTTTTAAAATAAAAGACTAATGTATAAAACATATCTTAGGGGTTTGAAGTTCAGATCCATGCTATGCAACTTTAAACATTTTTGGAAAAGAAAAAGGTTTACAAAGACCGGTTTAGCCATTAATCCAATTAGTTTTATTCGTTTCTTAATTGGTTTAATGTCAAGTGGTCCAATAATATCACGTGAACCAATTTGAGATCCAATTCATCGAGTTTTCAATCAGTCCGATCGATTTAGTACTTGATCTAATAACTTCAGTATGATTGGAAAGATATTAAGTTATAGATCGTGTCACACATTTTCTCTTGACGTATACACTCGAAAATCACTATACATTAACATGATAAACTCAACTCTAAACCCAATTTAAGCGTAAAAATAAATAAATAAATAATAGTTACACAATCAGGACAATTTTCCATCAATTTTTGGTCACTCTATTGGTGCGAGTTGTAAGGAGTTTAAATGACAACTCGTCCAAATCTTTATTAAATTGTCGACAATTCTCCCTATCCAATTTTTGTAAAATTATGTTTTGCTTCTCAATTTAGGCCGACAAGTTAATGAAAGTTCCGATATTTAAGATTAATCATTCAATTATAATTGAATGCTCAAAATTAATTTGCTCTTTCTTAAAGTTGAAAAACTAATTTACTTTTAAAACAACACATAGAAGACCAAAGACCAAAATATTGGTATAGTGATGACTCAACAAACAATTAATTCGTGTATCAAATCATTTTCTAAAAAAGACCTCCAATAATATCTATGAATGTCCCCCTATAGTGGAATATTCAATAATTTGCATTATTATTATTATTATTATTATTATTATTATTATTATTATTATTATTATTATTATTATTATTATTATTACCTTTTTTTTTGTATATAAACTTCAACACGTGTAAAAATAATAGTCTGTCACACTTGATGGACCTATACCTAGACATTTTAGCTGGTACAACAATTAAGAGATTACAATTTCCTGCCTATTTATAAACTTGCAATATTTTATTAAATCAAGTCTTTTATTATTTTATGAATAATTGGATTTTTAGGTGATAAAATTATTTTCCAAGACATTTTTTTTTTTTTTGCTTATAATAAGAATAAAGATTTCAATTTAACGTGACAAGCAACTTTCTTCTCTATATTGAACCATTTTTTGGGTATATATTTTTTGGACGGTGAATTTATGAATAATTGGATAAATTAAGCGAAGAAAAAGAACTGCTCGAATGGATGAGATGAGTAAGAAAACTTGGGTCTTATTAATCCATCGATGGAGGTGTAACCTATTAGACAAGAAATTTAGTTGAACTTTTGAAGATTACAGAAGAAATATTTCAAAGTAAGAACGAGTACAAGAATACTAGTCTTAAATAAGGATTTATGTGATTTAAATCAAGTATGTACTGTGGTGAAACGTCGTCAAGTCGACCAAACTCGGCACATATGTCTAAGCAATCTGTACCAAGCCATCCCAAGTCCCAGTGGCAGCCCACAATGTTCGATAAAAATAAAGTTTAATCAACTTATAAGTTGATTATAAACTTTGCCAAACATGCAGGAAGAAAGAGCAACAATTTTTTTCCACCATGCAAATCACATTATGAGTAAATTACAGTTTTTACAACAAATTCACTTAACACAAACCATGAGAGGAACCCATATTTAACTAAAAACAGAGATCACATTTCAAGATCATATTTTTATTTTATAAGCACGAGTAAAAGTTACCTCTTTTCCATTTATGAATTCTTGTTAGTACGAAACTGCTGAGAGAGAAAAATATAATATGTATTTTACAAAATCATAAAGACCTATTACCTCAACCAATAGGGCATCCATCGAAACTTCCAACGAGTCAAGACCCGATCACCTAAGTATTGGAGAGCATCTCCACAAAAAATCTCAGAAATGAAATTCTTCAAAACTTGGTAACTTTTTTACTGATTTTGCATTGGTTTTTCTCTGTCAATTCTCTGAAGTTGAGTGTATGACATTTAAACTGTAGTTAAAATTACATTTACAATTTGATTTTCGAGAATTCTCTGAACTTGAGTATATGACACTTAAACTGTAGTTAAAATTACATTTACAGTTTGATTTTCGATGTTTTTCTTCTGGAGAGAAAAAGAAATAGAAGCAATGAGAAACCCGCGGTGCCTAAGGAAAGGACTTTCCAAGAAGGGGAACCATATGAATTAATGTATGCACTCTCAATAAGTATCGTTTCTTGCCTCTTCTGCAGTTAAAAAGCGCAAGGAATCCACCATGAGAAACATGGAACAAAATTTTTCAAAATTGTACTGTCTAATACTGTGCAATCCAGCATACCAAACATGACATAGAAAATTCTCTTTCTTGCAACATAAAAGTACTATAAAGCACTGAAGATCTATGGAAGCAAAAAATAAGCATGGTAAACCCATATTTCGTAAGATCGGAACTTACTGTATCAACTATAGTCTGCATCACACGTTCATGTTGCTTTGCAAAGATGCTCTGGCCATAATTATAAAGCTCCATATCTAGGCTGTTGAGTGATGTAATCTTCTGGAGAAGTACCTTGGGAATATGACGCCGAGCCTGAAAAGTGGAAAGCTAAGAATACGATTAGTGCAGTAAAAAAGCAGTCAGAAAATTAAATGTTTCAGGACTTTTTCAAGCTATCATACCTCTTTTGTAAAGTTTGCAGGAGAAATATTCTTCAAAGAATTTGCGCGCCTCTCTTCTTGGCTGTTCCGTAAGTCTGAAGTACAGGACTCGTATGCTTCCATAAGTTTGCCAACAGTCATCTAATTTGGAGAGAGAGAGACCTTAGCCATGTGAAAAGGAAAGGAATGGGAAAGTTTCCAATCTCAAGACGAGAAAATTTAAATGGAAGTCACAGCTCACGTTCTTATTTGTTTCTTCGTCCTTGCCAATTGATGAAACTTTCTTTACCTTTGTGTAAGTGTTGTTTCTCTGTAATTGAACAAAAGGAGACATTTAACTTGAAGTACCCTTTATCCAAAGATTCCAAACATAATCAGAAGAAAATTGTTGTACTTATTTACTTGATAATTAGCATCCATTCGGGAATCCGGAAGCGAGGAGCTCTGTTCTGCAGAAGTAGTAGTCACGGTTAAGGAAAATCAATATTTTTATCATGTAGGTCACCTGCTCACCTCCACTTTACAGGAAAAAGAAATCCATACAAGTTCAAAATTCAGTCAACTATTGAGTTATGTAACATCCCGAACTCAAGATTTCCCATCCAAGATCCATAGATAAATTCTCTTTAATTTTTTATCAGTTGCAACAGCGACAAGTAGTCAATGCAGTGCATAAATTGTTTCTGATTGCTAACCTGAGTCATTGTTATTTGCAATCTCTCTCTTAGACCTCGATGTTGATAACTGAGAAATCACCTGTGCACCAACCACATTTGCAAACATTGAGGCCGATTCTTTATGGTTCTCGGTAAGTCCAACATACAGCATATCATTCAACCTTTTCTGCAATATTTACAACAATATACCATGGATGAGACAATTAAAAGAATACATAATATTATTCACCAAGAGTCAGATACATGAGTATACAATGGCATGATTGATAACAAGAAACCTTTCATAATTACCTTTGCAACTTCAAGCACATATTTCCCAAATGTCGGATACTTGAGTACACAATGGCGCACTTCATGTGATTCTGCTAAATGGGAGTTGTTTGTGAGTCCAGCAATCTGTAAATTAGGAAACGGTTAGGAAAGAAGATGAATTTAAACTCTGAAATAGCGAGACGAGGCTGAGAAAACCATTAAACATCACAAATCCAGTTCAGTCTTTGTGTCTTACTGGTATTTGCCGATATCAGCAAAATTCAATCTCAAATTAAACAGCCAGTGTCTCAGAGAACATTCAATGGCTGTCTCTTTCTTCTATTCATTTCTATTAGAAATGAAACTTAAATGCCCTTTATAACTCAATTCGAAGAACTTTACAGCACTAACATAAATAATATTCCTTAATCCAGAAGTCCTGGCATATTGCTAGTTTCAGTGTATCGTAAATGCAGACTAACATCAAAGGTGTTATAACATTAAGTATATTGTCTCTCTCTTATTGGACAGAAATGTTGGATACATACTTCCCTACTGAAAAAAGCATGTATAATGTTATATAAATTACCCCTAATTCCTCAGAAAGATAAAATAATGGGACCAAGCATAAGAGAAGTAAAGAAAAACTCATATTTTAGATATAACTAATTAATCAAAATGTAACATGCAGAGAGTTGACCAGCTCAATCTTTCTGTTACTCCATATTTTCAATAGTTTATACCTAAAAATTAAATGAAACAGAAACAACTTAATTTTGACAGCCGAAAGTTCTTCACAAGGAGCTGAATGCTGCACAGATTAAGCATAAATAAGCAATTATCATTGAATAGGTGATTTAAAACATATTAAGAACTGGCTACATCAATTTTCCGATCCTAAACCACATCTATGAGTTACAAAAGGTATTAGTAAGGTATCATGGATACACTAAAATCATATAGAGCAAAGTAAGGCTACATTACCTGGAAAGTGGCTCCATTGTGGACAATGTCCCGAACAATAGGTTCGTTAATGAATTCATGTAGAGGCATTAAAATGTCTTCCATATCGTAGGAGTTATTGGTCATTGTATAAGTTTGGCCTCGATGTTCTCTAGCATCCCTCTGCCATAAAGATGTAGAAAAGACTTTTAAAGATTTGATATTTGATATAGAAAAAATAGTATCTGAATTGTATATCTTATATATGAAGAAACATTTTATGATCATGGAAAATAATTAATGAAGGCATTTCTGCCAGTCCTACCATCTCTTAAAATTTTCAAGGTTACATTCAAAAGTGCAACTGAGAAAACATTTTGTTCTATCAACACACAGCGTGCTGCAAGGAGACTTCACATGTGATAAGTGTACACTTATTTTGGCTTCTATTCTTGATTATTTATAGCTATTGAGCGAATATCTATCTAACCTAGGTTAAAATGTGTCAATGGTAGGTAAAACCCCAATTTAAATGCACGTGTGAAAAATGTGAAATTGGAGCTAACTTGGAGTTGATACAGAGAAATTGATGATCATCTGAATTGTGCATGATCAATTGGAAGCGTTAATGGAGCAATCAAAGGTGATTCACAAGCTTCGTGAGCTAAAGTTTGAAGACTTAATTGCAAACTTTAGGAACTTGCATTGCATCAATTATATTTTTCTTCCCAAAACTTTAATTTCGAGTAATGTTGTATTTATTTAGTTTGTGTTCTTGTATTATTATGATGCTTGACTAGTTGTATAGATACTAGGATTACGTTAAACCCTATATTATGAAGTTTTGACATTACGTTCTACAGTTTGACACTTAAATATTCGTTTGCTCTAAATGATTGTCATGAGTTAAATGTTTTTCAATTAATAGATTAATAATTGAACTGATGTATGATTTCTATTGACATTTGGAGAAGTAATAAGAATTTAGCAAAAGTAGCAATCATTGTAATCGCCTATAGACGTTAAGGATAATTATCTGTAGTTTTCATGATCCAAATAAATGTTTTTGTGATTTAGTGTATTATCACATGTTCGCATTTGGAATAGAGATATTTTCGGGTCATATGTGAAGATGAATATAATTCTACTAGGGAGAAATTATTATATAAATTAGGAATAAATGTTGTAAAATTACAGGGTTAATATTAAGAAGGAAAAATATATGGGTATACGGGATCCTAGTGCTTTATATTACTTGAGTGTTCATAAACACTTCCAACCACTTAGTTAATTTTAAAAATTAGATTAGACCTAGGTTATTAGTGTAAAATCTATCTCATTTCTATTGTGTATTTATATTCAATTAGAGTTAGGATAATTGAAACTACGTTCAATACTTATTCCATTACTTGAACTCTAGGCCCACTTTATTACTTGTTTACAATCCTAACAGTTGTAGTTATTAAAATCAACATGGATTTGAAAAAAATAATAAATTAATAAAATAATAATAATAATAATATGATGTTTTAAAACAAGAGTTTAGCAGGGAACTGTGTATTAGTTGGTTTGAGATATATAAATCAGAATAAAGTATGATATAAATGTTAATATAATAGTCAGAACAAGGTAAAATTACTCCAGTGTATTATTTTGTTTCAAGCACAACAAGAAAATGGTACTTCGTGAAGCATTTGCATAGAAACATAAAGAAAAAAAATCCTAAAAAGGGATTCCCAAAAAAATATGCATAAAAGGAAGCATCAAGCTCTAGTTAAAGAGCATACTCGAGCAAATAAATCTTCTATCATCCAAGGAATCAAATATTTCCATGGCCAGATATCCAAAGTGCTTACTCCAGCCTTCTTAGGCCGTGGCAGTCTAGCCATTCTTCCCACAGAAGTTAAGTTAGGATGTATCAGAAACCTAGCTGCTACCTCCACAGAAAATTCAAAAGTGCTAAAGACACGTTCAACAGGGTTTCTAAGTATTATCACCGCTGAAGTTTTCTCCTTGGGAAGTTTGTATATGATGCTATAGTCATCATGAGTACTTAATAACCGACAGTTTGGTTTTCTGCGAATTGCAACAAATTCATAGCTTAGACATCTCGAAAAAGAAACCTTAAAATTAGAAACAATTTTTTACACGATACAGAGTACAAGAATAATCACAATGATCCTGAAAAGTTAGCAACATTTTCCAATTTTTTCCAACTGTGGCCTGTCTTGATAGTCTGGTTGAAGGAAAAGACATGGATAAATGCTGATTATTTTCACCACTAAACAAGGACGAAGAGATAACGTGTCTCTGAAAATGACTATATTAAAAGGTTACAGCTTGGACCTGCTATAAAAATCAAATCATAGAGAGCCAATCATTCTGACTTTATCTTTCTTAACTTTAAAGTGGTAAAGTCTCATAGCATCTTCACCAAGCCACGCAATTCCTAAACAAGTTGTCAAACGCTCATTCTGTACAAGCACAGTTCAAATAACTCAAGAGCTACTCCATTATTAGATTAATTATTTAGGATTATCTAACATGAAATAATGACCATCTGTTTCCAGCTTCGCAAACTTTTCATGCTCACAACATCAGGCAACTATTGAATTCTGAGTATGTGACAAGCTCACAATACTTGTGGTCTTGGCTACCAATGCTCCTCACAATTGCTAAGGTGGCCTCATTTTGTTTTCGAAGAAGTGTTTGTCAAGAACAAAGTGGTTGGCTGATTGAAGATTTCATCAAACTAATACAGAAATAAATAATTTGGATGCTCTAACAATGATGGCCAGCATTACCTCGAATCCACCCGTAACTTATCATAAGAACGAGGACATTCCTGAGAACTTGAGTACAGCTTCCTCAAGAAACTACATACAAACGTCATAAGCATGAGAATAAAGCATCTGCACTTGTCATTTAACAAATTAAAATTGAGAATGAATATCATCTTTTCTTCTTTCTTGTATGAGCAAGGCCCGAGGTGGCATATGAGTTCAGTGCCAATGTAGAAAGTTACCAATGGAAATATGTTCGCCCTCCTGTTCGAGGTACATGAAGGAAAAAGAGCAAGTCCCGCAATAAATGTTTGTCTTCTTTAACTTCAGAATTTAGAGATGATGATGCCCAATGCCTGACAGTATGTTCACATTGCTTATAGCCATCCTCAGCGGAAGATGCCTTTATGATGATAGGAACTGGAAAAAGAAAAGAGAGATCAACTATTATTGCAAAAATCCCAACATTCTCCATATCTGAAAATTGTCAATTAAAAATCCTCCTTGTAGAAGCAATACAAGAAAAATACAGAAATAGGTAGAAAAAGTATGCTAAAAGGATTACCGATTAGCTCCGAGCAAGAACACGTCCCTTATTCAACCAAAAAATAAAAATAAATAAATAAATCCCTTTTTCTCAATTGGTTTTGAACAATTATGCTTATGCAAAGAAAGAAACTTTTCCAATGAATAAACATTCACCATTCAACAGAACTCACCATAAATCATAAGATGACTTCCTAATTCAAAAATATGGATATTCTGACAGAGAAAACACGAAGGAACTTTCTTTCGACGGAGGCAAAAAGAACTTACTTGATAGAAACAGCACCAGAATCATGTGTAAGTTCAAATCAATATTCAAGCACCTCATATTCACCTCTCAGTAAGCCACAAAAACAACTGGACAAAAAAGACGAATAATTCCCTTATCGTTAAATTCCAATTAAATCCATAAAATATCAAATATTCAATAGTTGAATTACTGCAAGCAAAACGCAAAGTAGAAGAAGAAACCTTATAACTAACAACCCAAAGAAAAAAAAAGGTAAAACATGACACGCATTACATGTTGATATTGTAATTATATCAAAAGGAAAAAATAAAGATAACGTACATATGTTTGAGTATCGCGATCTCGAATACATAAATTCATTCAGCAAAATTCAAATTCATTTCCCACAAACAGTGCTGTCTGCCGGTACATAAACCTCACGATTAGACAAGGGGGACCCACCACAACTTATTGCAGCTTTTAGTGCAAATTCTTAAAAATTAAGGATTTCAAGTAATGCTATTTAGCGCTTTCCAACCAATTATTCACGTCGTTTTAAATTAAAATATCATTAACTTAGTAAATTAGTGTTATAAAATTAATTGGGATAAATTTGAACTGACATATTAATTTAAAAATAATATATTAAAAATTAATTGAGCAGACAATAAATTGAAAAGCAAATCTCAACTCTTATAATACAGTCTAAATAGTAGTGTTAGGTGATAAATTTAATTGAAATGTGAAGTTAAATAAATCGTACTTATTTTTTAATGACACATCGACGTAATATAAATTAATATTTTAATCCCAATGAAACTAAAGAAACCAGTATTCTTGCTTCCTCTCCTTTTTCCCTTACTAGATGCCAATCCACAAGCATAACGGCTAGGAATTATTTAATGGGGAACAAGAATAAGCCCCTGTTTGATTTTCATTATTTTTTCATTAAAATGAAAAATATAATCGTTATCCATCACATCAAATTATTAAATTTGAATTTATATCTTTTGTATGAAACTCGTAACAGCTACATTTTTCATTCTCATTCTTCCAAAAATGAGAAACAAACGGGGTCTAAATTAAAGCCTCTTTTGAAAATTATTTATAAACAATTTAATTTAATAAAGAAAATTTTATACTTTTTGTTCCCAGTATTTGTAAATAGTTTTACATTCTGTTCATTAAAATAACAAATTTGTCCTCTGCCTCAAAATAATAAAAAAATAAAATAACAAAAAAAATTTGCAACGAGAATCCCGAAGAACTAAGAAAAGGGCTTCCCTATCAATAAAATGAATTTATCTAAATGTACCGGGTCAGATCTTACAGGATTTTCCCAAGTTCCTCGGTGATGGTTCCTCCGTGATAGGACCCACCTCATTAAAAAATTAGCTCAAAAATTTCCAACCCCACTTATTTGTGTGTCTTCAATAGGTTGTCCATAGAACTCCTATATGATAACCCAGCACTGCTCCCTTGACCAAGTACAGAGCACTAGAAGCAGCAAGAATAGTGGACCTCATCGCTCAGGTCCCACCATGCAACTGAACAATTGATTTTAACTGGTCACTGTTAGATATGGCAATTTGAATCGTCAAAATCGAAGATCGCGGTTAACCGAATTGAATGGGGCAAAAAAATCGAACCGATGGTGCAATGGGACGGATATGATTTTTATTTTAATGAACCGATTTGTGACGGTACTGGTATGGTATTTACACCGTCGAACCGAAACCGAACCAATTACCCGCTATTAAAAAAAATAATTGAATTAATTATTGAAATTTACACTACTTTTCTATCTAGCCCAAAACAAAATCTCCTCCCCCCTCCCCCCATTACATCTACATGACTCAACCAACCAACCCACTTACCATTACCCCATAATAATAGCATTAGTATGACAGTATATAAATACAAACCCTACTCTTCACAAACCATAAACTCATGCACGGCTCCTTTTATTGTTAATTTTTTTCTATTGTGCGAAAGAATTTACTTCTTCATCATACTTTAGAGCTTGTGTAACGTTTAGCGAGAAGGAAGCTGACGAAGATGTACATTACCATTCTGGAATAGGTAGTATTGTTGTATTCTCTATTTACATTTCTTATTTACTATATAGAAATCAACTTTGAGTGTTGATCTATGCTAGTAAGACTTGTAGGGAAGAATGAATCAAATAATTTCGATACACAACAATTAAGAATGAAGGAAAAGTTTAGTATTGTTATATTTATAATATTATTTGTTAAGTTTGTATTTTACAATTGAAAATTGGGATAATGTTTGCATTTTCGTTTGGAATATTGTGTTTTTGTTTTCATTGACTTTTTTCATAAATTGTTTTATATCAATTTGACGGATAAACCTATAAAAAATAATTTTTTTTCATGGTTATTAACCGAATCGAACCGTGCCGAACCGAGATACAAATCGAACCAATTTACGTGGTTATGATACGGTTATGCTATAGTAAAAAAATTGGTGATGCGATTATGATTTTGGTCGAATCGACCCATAACCGAACCGTTGTCAGCCCTAGTCACTGCGTTAATTTTATGAACTTTTACAAATATTAGGCTTGTTTGATTCGTCCATGGAATTCGAATTTCACCTTTTTTTTCAATTTTGTGTGTTTGATACGTTTTAATTTTCATGAAATTCCATTTTCTTGCTTGTATTGGGAAATGGTATTTTCTTGGTTTTTAAGGATCCAGCCAACTGTTCACGTTTTTTTCTTTTTTTGAATTTTTTTTTTGTTGGCAATGGAAACAAATTCTAAGAATTATTGTAAAAAAATATTTCATTTTAATTTACAATTTTCATATAAAACAAAGTCAAACAAACACCAAAAAACACTTTTATTTCAACATTTTTCCCGTAAAAAATTATACCAATCAAATACAATAATTTACAATTCTCAGGAAAACAATTTCTAGGCAATTCAATTCCCTGAAATTCGATTTCAATTCCATCTTTACAATCAAACAAGCCCTTACAGTTTTAAAACTCAAATAACTTGAAAAGGTACGCAATTTTGTTTCATTGAACAAATCGAGTCAAGTCAAGTTGGTACGTGTAGCCTTTGAACCGGTCTTGTATCGACTTACTACGAGGCTAGGAACATAGTATGGCTCAAAAGCATAAGCATCAACACGAGTCAAAATAATCATTTTCTTTTTCTTTTCTTTTTTTTAATAATTAAGGAACCAAACACCAAAAAGCAACCTCTATTTCGCTTGAATGATACACAAGTAGCCAAACTATGAACATAGATTACATCAGAAAAACTCCCCCATAGTCAACTGCAGGAGAGAATATTTTTGTGAATAGTTCAAAAAGCAGGGTAAACGAAAAATCAGTTTACCCTAAACCACACTCTTCCAACATATGACCATATTTGTTACACTGCTCGTGAAGTTGCTACACTACAACTATAAGAGGTAAATAATGTCACGGAAGAGAATAGGACGATCAAACATCGCTCGAGGAGAAGAACAAGGAAAACACAATATACAGGAAATATCAGCAGCACATTGTAAGTTAATTATTAAGCTGTGCAAAATATTTCTTGTCTGCATTAGTGAGGCGATCCTGAAACATAGCCCACTCACTTCTGCATCTTTCTCGTACCTGTGAAAGAGAAAACGAACATTTAGGCTAGTCGTTCTCGTACGCGCAGACAAACCATTACGAAAAATATCCTGAAATAAGTGAGGTCATCATGTCATGCGACTACTGAATTTGAAAATTTGAGGATCTGAATAGAAGACCTGCTGCAAATTTTCTCAAAGGTACACGATCATTTTATAAAGGAAAGCCAAGTTTCCCAATTTTGTGAATCTCTATCAATTTTGGGGGATAGTTAAACAGTTATATATACGTGACCAATTCATCATGACATGAAGAAATATGTAGTTCTATACAATCGAGGTGGGGAACCCAAGAGTAGAGCTCCCTGTCAGACAATACAGAGAGATTTTATATATACGTACCCCTTGCCATGGAGCAATACCATTGTCAGACTGACCCTGAAAGTTGAAATACAGATTTTAGAATTAGTGTGACAAAATAAAAACTTTCCAGAAAAAAGGAAACAAGCAAGAGAGGTGAAAAAATAGAAACTGAAAAATAAAAGGCATTTCTAAAAAGGACAGGAATGAAGACAGCATGGACATCCAATAAGAGAAGAAGGCCAGAAAAGAGGGCAGATGTATCCATCCACTAGTAGATATCAGGAAAAAAGTGCATGTTTTGCATGTCTAACACAAGTTTTCAAATGTCTGGCCAATGTTGCCATCAATTTTAATCTGATAGCTAAGTGCAGAACATCTCATTCATTTCAGGATTTGGTTCACAACTTGACAGGCAAAAACCAGTCACATTTTCACATCTTCTGGATGCGCCCATAAGAGTGAAAATATTACTACCCAACATGAAACACATTTTCTCGATATAATCATCAAAATTGATTTTGGTATACAACAGAATCACTTGTAACCTAAGGCAAAACATATTGAGGAAGTGCATAAACTTTGCTAACGTAATGGAATATGCAAAAGCAACAAAAGCAATGAAGATGTCGTAGAGACCATAGAGGGCTGGCACTGTTTTTAGTGAAGTATACCTAGAAAATAGGGGAAGAAGTCATAGTTGCATTTCTACTACTACTGTACAATAAGAAAAATGGAAGAGAGATCGTATAGACTTGGAGAAATGGGAAAACCCTAAGGCCCCAGAAAATCTACTTCTCCTCATTCCTGTTTACAATCCCATATTCTTTCTTCAACTCCAGCAGGAGATACATTTCTTAACAATATTTCCTGAATGGGCAAATGGATTTTTCAATAGCATTTGGCCCTAACAGAAACAGTAAGCATATCTGTATACATAGCACATATTTTGCTCTCTGAAGGGAAAAAAAAATTCTTTTGACCGACATGAACCTGTACTAAATTATATGCATTGACAGTAAAACCTTGTGTCTTCAGATCACCACCCTAATATCAGTACTTAGTACTACCCTAGAATTTGGAAATATCCTATACCAGGTACTTACCAACAATTTGAAGAGTGATCCCTTCCATTTTGAATTATTGACTGACATATCTATTTTGTTGGAGCAATAGAAAAGCCTGGCGGCTTCACTCATCTTCTGCTCAAGAATACACTTGTATAAACCAGGATAAAACTCTTCAATGCCCTCAATGGAGTGTTTGGAGGGATGAAGTACTTATAATATCTTCTATTGAGATCATCTCATTTAAAAAATGATCAATTTATGGGCAATGTAGTATTAATATTCAATCATCCCAACACGTAAAGCAGGTTGTTGGACTTTTCAGCTGACATTTGACACTTGAGCAATATTCATAGAGGGGGTTTTCTTTCTTAAATAATGGAGAGATCAGATCTATAAATAGTCGCATTAATGAATTTCAATATTGTGTCAGGATGCCATGAGAGCAGGGAAAAAAAAAAAGAAATATGATTATGTAATAGATTTACAAGTTGATGATGACTGACCTGACTTCCAAGAGATGGAATAACTTGATGCACAATCCATTGTGAATCAACAACGCCAATTTTTTCATGTGCAGGCTGCAGGGGCAAAACAAAAGTTAGAGAAGATCTTTCAATTAAAATCACACGCTACCTGCAAAATAAAAACATTTAGTGTTGCTAGCTGTCAGTATGCAACACAGCAGGCAGACTTGGAACTCTTCGGTAGGGGAAAGGAACATTATTTCCCACAATTTCCTTGTTAACTACTACCATTTCATGAACGCGTTAATTTTTTTCTTCCTTCTGTTATATTTTCCTTTATAGTATGAGGACCTAATTACCTAAGTGCAAGCATGTGCCCAAGCACACACACAAAAAACATAGAAAGAGAATAGAGAGAGACAACTAACATCCACACATCTTCTGAGTGCAAAATCTAAACCCCATCCATGGACCAAATCATTCTGCAAGCACATAATTAGAGAAGTTAGAGTTGACTTTTACAGGCTGAAAGAGACTTATACGAAAAGAAGCGGATATAAAGCACTAGAATAAAGAAATTCAATATAGAAAAAATGAACATGTGAAGCAGCATTATATGGTCCCAAAACTATATATGTACCTGGATCATATGCCAAACACATCTCCAAGCTTCGCGAGAAAACACTGGAGCCATTATTTCCACAAAGCTAAATGCAAGCAAAAGGATAATGTAAAATTGCATTACTAGGAAATCTCCCATCAGTCAAGGTGTACATTGTCAGTCCATAAAATGATCATTTCATGCGTGTGTGTGTGTGTGAGTGGTTTAATTGATCAATTTTCAGAGGAAATCAACTTATCTCAACAAGATCTTCTACGTACGGCAATAATCTTAAAAAAAAAAAAATCCCACTACAAGATACATCTCCAATCTTACAAATCATTTTCATTTTCCTTTAGAGATTTACCAATATTAGTTTCACTCTGCCTAACACATAAATCAATTGGACTAATTTTGCTTTAATCCAAACCTATATTAGTAGTTAGTAATTTATCTTCCATGTCCACTATTCAAGAGACGTAATAGAATCCTATTTCCTCTTGTCTTCGGATCAATCAATCAACAGGTGTCCATCTTAATATTCCAATTTCACCTATAAGTTATGTTTCAATTTGCAGCATTTTTACCTAAATGACAGCACAACTTATTTAAGTTTTATCAACATATCCATGTGAACACGAGACAAGCAATTATTTTTTATTATATATCCACCGCATTTTATAGAGTAAAACACATACAAGGTTTGATTATCCAAATACAGTTCTCAATATCATAAAAAGCCTCCTACTCCCGTCCCAATAACATCAGAGCTACTTATCATTTATCAAGCACTTCTGTCACCAACCATTGATACCCTCGACTTCCAATACCCCAGAAAATCTTTCACAGATTAATTGATAAATAGATAGAGGAGAGTATTTACGCTGCACATGGAGGCAAATGTGGATCACTGCACCAGCCTGGTTTTTCTTCTGTGTCCCTATTTATCACCATCCAAATATACCAATATAAAAAACTTGCACCAAACCAATCAACTTAAACGAGCACTATATACACAAATGAAATCTTAGGCTCTTCCTCTATATATGTATTAATTAATGTGTTCTGTTTTATTTCCTTTTTTCTCTCTTTTTTTTTTTTTTTTTAAA